TCCTTAGGACAAAATGTTAGATGTTGCAAAATTAAAATAGAAGTTTATTAGAACAAAAAGCTTCCTGTATTTGTACTGTAGTGAAGAAATGCATGCAGCCAACAGTTTCATCACTAGCAGAAACACAGTCATTAAGTGGATAAAAGAGACAGAGAGTGAATAACTGCCTGTCTCTGGCTACTCTCTTTGTTCATCATAAACAAAAGCAAGAAACCTCCAATTACCTTTTAAACAGCAGAGGAAAGTATAAAAAAACCTGAACTGATTGGATTGGGCACATCACTATTTTATGCCAGATAAGGAAGCAACCTAAGGGTATAGAGTGAGGGACCTCCAAAAGAACAACCTTTCTTCTCCTATGGAGACAAGCAGTTTTGTAGGAGCATACTGGAATAGAACCTAGTACCAACAGCAGGAAAAGCTGCTGCTGTGAAGATTAATCACGATTTCCCAAATACAACTCAGAGAAGGTAGCATTTTAGAGGACACAAACTCAGAGACAGCCAAGACTCCAGGTAACTTCTGCTTAAATGAAAGGTCAGTACTTAGTCCATCTTGTCTCTGCCACTTGCTCATCAAGCACCTCTCACCAAAACATAGCTGAGGGTAAACATGGTTTACCCACTCTAAATTTGAGCACTGCCACAGTTATCCATTCACCACCACCCAGCCTGGATCACTAGAAGGTTTATCTCAGGTTTAGCCAGAGATAATTCTGCAAGTGTCATACTAAGAACAGAACAGTTCAACATCACAGCAGTGGGTGCCAATTGATTCTCCAACCTCCAGCTTCTACCCAGCATTAGGCCCACAACTAGGAAGGATACTAACAAATTGAAAAGGCAAAAAACCAATACTATGGATTAGAACGGATGAAGGAAACGCTGCTTACCCTGAAGAAAGAAGATGAGAAAATAGACAAAGTACAGAGATGAGTCCTGGAGAAGGTGACCTGAATTACAGCAGTTCATGGGGCGGTACCCTGGAAGGGTCACCCTCCAAGTACATAATTAGTGCCAGGCCTGAGAAAAAAAACACTGTTACTAAGTTAATGTAGCCAAGGGGAGAGGGGGGAGCTTGGGAATTGGGTGGACAGGGCACAGAGGGTACATTTTCTTTCGTAATATAGAAGGAGCAATGATGGAAGAAGCAGACTTTCCTCACCCACAGCCAAGTCCTGGTGAAAATCAAGAGAAGCCACTGTAGATATCAACTCAGAAGACCACTGCTGCTTTGGTAGTGTGGTAAGGCCTGAACAGTGCAGATAGCTTTCAAGGAAAAGATTTTTCTTTAAAAGGTGAAGAACAAAGCTTCCCCCCCACCCCCCTTCTTTCCCTTTTCCCCCTCCACCCAAATAAAGTGTAAACATTCAACCCCAACACATGGAATTCTGGCTACCCTTTGTGTGGCTGAATGTGCCAAATTTTTGCTAACCTGCATAGAAGAATATTATTCCCATGATGTCTGCAAACATTTAGAAATGAAATACAGAATTAAAATAGATGAAAGATGAACAATAAAGGGATTAAGGTCTAAATTGTTAAGATTTACTCTAATAAACTAGTATTTTATTCTAAAACTACATACACAATAATGTATTTGTAAACTTAATTCTTCAATCTTAAGGCCATGTTATACTGAAGAGCTTGAGTTAGGCTGTGCTGTCACATCAAAGTACACCTGGAAGGAAGCAGGAGATGCAGGAGGGGGGAGAAAGAAGTATGTAGTCTGGAGAGTTCATAAACTATCTCCACTGAAGAGGAAAGAAAGACAAGTTAGGTGAACGGGAATGGGGGAAACATTAAAACACATCAACTGTGAAGAAAAGACTGAGAACAGACTTTGCTTGAAAACAAGAACACTAACAGCTGCCCTTACCACACCACAGTTAATGAAGACTTTCATAATTGCCTTAGTGGTAGGAGCATATCCCCACATGATATATATACACACACATATACATTTGAACAAAAGATGACAAATTATAAATCATGCTAATATATCGCAATTCCTTTAAGCAGAAGTTATAATATTTTGTTTAAGAATACAAGTTTGCGGTCAACAAGCCTTTGAAAAGACATGCCCAGAAGTTGAACATTTATGAGGACATAGAAGTCCCAGAGGAGAGCTAGTCATATACAGTTCATTACAGTTTTATAGCTTAACTGTAACTGTGTTTCAAAAAAACCCAAAAGATAACAAAACCAGAAATTACACAGACTCACTGTGCCTTGCTATTCTTGAAAACCTTGCTGTTATTCCTTGTTATTCCTAGCAAGTAACTTATAGCACCTGCACCTACAGAGCACCCCAAAACTGTGCTTTTCAAACAACTTTCAACCAAAGTAGACAAGCACTATTTTTGTCTGCACAAATCTGCAAAGACCACGTTCCCTTTCTACTTCCTTGCTCTTCCTTGAATGAACCAGAACTCCCTCAAGATAAGGCATTGCTTACCCACAGAGCTCCTCAACCCTGTTGAAATGGGAACCTACCATGAAGCTAAATAAATAGAATCAAGTAAGAAAACATATTCAATCCACAGAAAACAAAATACAGTATCAACCTACAACCTACACTGTAAGATCAGAAAATAAATTATGACAATCAGCTCAAGCAACAAAGAGTATTACTAACATGACACAGTCTGATTAACTAAAATTATAGAAAAACTCCTTAAAAGATTTGACCAGTATCTGGATGGATCTTCAACAAAAAGCAAAGTATTCTGAAACTAAAGAAGGTAGACACTTAAGCCTACATATGTTTTAAATAAAGAAGTCATCGATATTTCCTTTCAATCATGAAATATGCTTATACACATGTTTATCAGGCATTCTGAACAGATCCCATATCATTGCTTGCTCCACAGACAACAATCCAATTCTCCCTACCGAAAGCAAAAATATGGGACAAATATGTGTGAACACTTGAGCAATGAGCTCTGTAATTAAGCTTGCCTCTTCATGAAAGATCATCAAAGAATGCCATGGGAAAAAAAAGTCCTCAGGGGCATAGTTTTTCTTCTGTGATCTTTCTTCAGTGGAATCCCTCCTACAAGAAACTGGGAAGAAATTCTACCCTACTGTAAAGAAAAAGCAGTATCAAAGCCAAAACGTATTGCACTGGAAAGAAAATCAGCATCTAGCTAGAGCTAGCTCACAATCTTAGACTTGCAAATTTGCAAGATAGACATGCCTACATATGACTGATACTAGTACTGTGTTTCACTTTCCCATAGGCCTTCAGGGAAACTGCCAAATACTCAATGTGTACAATACAGTAACATAAGCACCTCTCCAGACTCTGAGAACAATGGTGGTTTTGCCATATTTTTTTGCCATATGCCACGTGTCCGCAACTAGCCCTACCACATGCCTTGACTAGGCAGTCATCATCTCTCTGTGAGCAAGCATCCTTTCTTTACTCTCAACTCCCGCTTCCTTCACTGCAGCTCTCTAAAGCAGAAACTGCCTATTCATCTGTACAACAACCTCCATTTCTAATTACTATGCTTTGGATTGTCATAAACCATACGTATTAATATTTTATTCAAGACTGTTGAAGAACTTACCTTCACTTGCATGTTATTATTGTGACATGGTAGGGCTACCAGGTGATCAAAAATAAGATTTATTTCAGGTTTTCTGTATACTTTTGCATAGTCAACCACAGTTTTTTCCTATTAGATTGTTTTGCCATTAGTTAACCTTCTGTACCAAAATTCTGCTCAGAATGTCAGCTGCCGTGCCACACAATGTTACTACTACACATATTTAGAAGAGTGTAGGAAAAAACAAAACCCATTTTTTTCCAAATAATGGCTGATAACTGAAGCCAGGCCCCTCTCGCTCTCTGGACCTCAATTATGATCAAGTAATTACGAAGAAGTAGTTTTCCTAAAAGCTGCAGCTGTTTTGTCAACATAATTCCTTAATGGCAAACAAGCTTAATTCCTCATATTTCCAGTCTCCATGCAGTTTAAGATTGCACAGGACTACAACAACATTCCCAATTCAAATACCAAGAGTGACATGTTTTGAAATTTAGTTCTCACTTTGTAAAAAGTGCTATAGAATATAGACAACAGAGAAACCTCAGGGAACAGAAACCGGACATCCTGCATGATGCAGGGAGGCAGCAAGGAGACTGCCTGCATCACAGAAAGTACTGTGTAGCCTTTGCAGCCAATAAATAGGAATAACATAAGGCTACATGAACCAATCTCTCAAATCTCCAACATCAAAAAGGGCATAGCTTTTATTTCATTTTATTCCTCAGTAAACAAGAGAAATGGTTACAACCAAGATGTGTTAAAAGTCAAAACAGAACCTGAATATGGTGCATCATAGCTTACAGCCTGAAGAATTCAACATTTTATTTCTTGACTACCTTTCCATGTACCAAACACATGCAGTTGTGGTATAAAGCCAGTCCTTTACTCTGCAGCCACAGGTTTGGCTTAGTACCTTCTCAGCCACATTGTATCTTCCCAGCTTTTAGACAGGCTCTAAACCCATCACACATTCTCACTGCTTCTCCCAGATAAATGGAAGAGATTACTTTGTACGAGAGAAGAAGCAGCTGGGGAAGGAGAGGTTCATGTAAACGTGCACTGGGCAAATGATACATTACACTTCAAGCAAAATACTATGTTTCTATTATAAAAAAAGAAAAGAAGTTGTGTGGTTGGGGAAATGCAAAACTTCAAGAAGCAATGATTTTTTCTAAATGAAAATTTTAAAACTGGTTTCTTTTCAGCAATGTTCTTATTTCTTAAGAACAAAATTGGCAGTAGGAAGGAAAAAGCCTGAAATCATATAACTTCACTAACATATATTTTGGACCTTAGAAACTCTCCTATGATGTGCCTCATTACTATAATTACATTAGTAGGATGATTATTCAAGAGAAAAGAATTGTTTTTATCTTGCTGTTCTAAAAATTGAGTATAAAAAATGAACACAATCAGCAGCTGTTGTAAAAATTTTAATACTTACTGCGTAGGAGCCTATGAGGAATGCAGCATTTGCTTGCTTTTTCTGATCAAAGCCAGTATAATGAATTATTTTCTTCCTTATCAATGAAAATGACTGTATCAAGAAATGAACAAGATTATGATTTTGCATTTTAGACCTTTTATACCTTCTTTTATAAAATCAGAGAAATGCAAGAGTTTGTTTACCTCCTTTCATCCAGCTGTAGTCAGAGAACCAAAAATACTGTGGAGTAGTCCCTCAGGAGCTTTGGAAAACTGTATTGCATCCCTAACTAAATTTTTCCAGTATTTTTCCCAGTATCCAGCCGAAATAATTTTTGATAGAAATTACTGAAATACTTTGTTTTTCTTCTTAAATACATTTGTATTTTTAGTTTGCGTTTTTTACTTCAAGCCTTATGTAACAAGTAGCCATTTATGAGAACAGAAAGAGGCATTCTCAGAAGCAACACAAGTATATTAAAGTTGCAAAAATTTTAAAATCAGAGTTTTTACCTTTTTGTTCATTTTTCAAACTCAAATGTAGATAAATCCACTAGTATTTGTTTCTAAGGATCAGAACCATGCTTAGATTAAAATATATTGAAATTATTTCTAAACTTTATCATACATACTTTTTTTAAGTGTCTTCTTGGCTTGGCATACAGTTTCTCCATGTGTCTTAGAATGTGGGTGGAATGGTATTTTCAATAGAAAGGACACACACGTGTGGTGGCTGTTATCCCCTAACTAGCCCTTGAAATAAATTCTGATGTGCTTGAAACTGCCCACTTTGATCAACTGCTAAGCTATCATAAAATGTTATTTTATTAATTTAAATAGCAATGTTACCTCTTCAAGATACCAGATTCAATGCATTCAAGACAAAACCTCAGATCAGTAGCAGAAATATGTTCTCAGAAAGCCTAACATGTCAGACACAAGACATGGAAAGGGACTATAACATAGAAGCAATTATTTTGTTGCTTCAGAGCACCCAATATACAAAAATCAGAGAATCTCATCTCTAATGAACACAATTACCCATGTGGGAGTTTACCACCTCCCAGCCTGGACCACTAAACAGGTTTATCTCAGGCTTAGCCAGAGACAATTCTGCTAGTGCCCCTGTAAGAACTGAGCAGCAACATCACACCCATGGGTGTCAATTGCTTCTACAACCTGAAGAATAATAAAGCAAGTCTGAATTCTGCAAACTATCATCTGTGACAGACATCAAGGAATTTAAAAAAAAAATACCCTCCTATTATGTGCTGTATATTTCCTACTTCTTACAGTTCAGTGGCAGTTTAAAGATCTAAGTAGTTTTGAAGAGGCAAACCATGATTGACATTAACAAAAATAAGCTTTTTTATCTGCCAAACAGGTTTTATACTCCAACATCTACTAAAGGTCAACTAACTTGTAGTAAGTTGTGTTAATTAATTTAAGAAATCCGTTTTAAACACACTATGCTTTATCAAAAGCCCAATCCCAAAAATTACTCAGCTCCTGTAAGAGAAAATAATCTGCAGTACAAGCAGAACAGCCTCCTTCAGGCCAATGCTATCAATGCTACTAAATATCAAATGTTGTTCATTATTGAAGAATGTCAGCATCAGAAGAGAAGACCAAGTCAAACAAAAATAATTTCAAATAAAAACATAGCACTACACCTTCAAGCTCACTCAATACTGGCCGATTGCCAATATGACAGAATTCCAGGAAAAAAGCTTTTCCTATATTAATTCAGCAACTGATGTTCTAGAAGCTTAATGATAGTTGTGTATCTTTTGTAAGTGAGTGAGTGAATGAATAAGTGAGTTTTCCACCCTGATCCTCCTCCTCCCTAAATTCACCTCACTAAAATATAGCATTCATATTCAGAATGCAGCTGGGTTAGGAAAACAGGAAAGCACCTGAACAATAGCAACAAAAGAAATGTTGGCCTACTTGTTTTTGCTTTTTAAAAAGCCAGTAATAATTGGCTTTTGAATCAAAAACCCAAGAATTACCTTTAATTTCCTATTTAGCTTGCAGCAGTATCTGTAGACCATTGCCAGATTGAGTGGTCCAAAGTCTGCATAGAAACTGTTAGAAGAAAGGAGAAAAATTGTACATGACCCTGTTAAATACCTTTTTTTAAAACAAGATGCACAAAGCAAGGAGTAATAATATACATGTGATATACATACATCATTCTAAAAACAAGCATACTGTCTTACATAAATACATACTGTTTTGTTGGAGGAAATGTTTTGTCATCTTAAACATGGACTACATTTTTTTTATTTTACACACAGCACCATTTGAAACCAATACCCCAGACTTTAAGAACTATTTCTCACTACTGTATCACTCTGTGACAAAAGTTTTTAAATTCTATTTAAAGAGGACCTCATAAGCTTTACTTTAAAAGAAGGCAACTTGTGCTAGAGAAAAGTGAACACAGAGAATAAAGATTTATTAGTGTACTAAAAACCAGCAAGCATGCCCTTGATCAAAACTATTTGAAGAATTAGCAACATTCCACATCATGTAAAAGACAAACACTGTTCACTACAGGGGAAATAATATATCCATTGTCAGCTCATAAAGGCTTGAATTGACTTTGCCATTTTCTTCTCTGATTCTAGGAAGTTCAGACATTCCACTTAATACATGAGGAACCAAAGACACCCCTTTTAGTCTGGCAGTACAATGTGCACTTCTAAATTTATATGGCTGTATCATGTTTCTGTGTCTTCGAACAAGAATGGGTACAATGAAAGTTTCTGCTTTGAAGATGTTTTTAAGAAATCCTGATGGGAAAGCAAGAAACTCTTCAAAAGCCTATAAATCAGCATGGCACGAAGTCTTAGAAGAACAAACTCATGGAATTAATTCTCCAATAAGACTAATTCCTCACTGCTGTTGTTCTGACTAATTTATTTCTGTCAAAAAAGGAAAAAAACCTAACTTGGTACTTACTTCTCATACACAAGTTCATCATCTATGCAGAAATAATGCGTATTTGCAGCTCCACTCTTTGGTTTTTGGTAGAGAATTGCAAAATAAAGGCGATCTGAAATGCAAGAAAATTGGAAGCTTTTATAAACATAATGATTTTCTGCTGAATCTCTGAAGTATTACTTGTCAATGGGACAACATTAAATGGTTTAGAGTGAATAAAGTCTTCTTTTAAGTATTAAATTCGGTATTATTATTTCTCCAGTGTTAAACAAACAAGGCATACAAAGATTGAGGCTTTTTGCTCAGCAGCATTCCCATAATCCACAGCTCTTTAGTGTTCTTTCCCAAAGTGTTCCTTGTTTGATGATTTTGCAAAATAGCAGGAGCCTGACTTGCACCCACACACACAGCAGACACATCCTTTATCAGGTTTGGTTCCACTCCAAATACCAACGCACACACACCACCCCCCAGACTAAAGCACAAATCCCTCTGCACCTCTGATTCCCTACATTAAACTAAATGATGAAGCACACTCATACCAAACACAGGCACTCCTTTCATGTAAAGCCATGATTTTGACAGTAGTGCCATACAAATTAAAGCCTGAAGGTAACAGACTCAGGAGGTATCCAACATGCTGCCCATGGGAGCACCAGCCAAGCCCCACCTGGACATCTCCAACTGAATTCTCATCCCCATCCCAGCTGCCCCTTCAAAGCCTGTGTGTCTGCAGGCAGGAGATATCTGGTACTTGCCCTGGCTTCCTTTGTTAAGCTGAGGGGGAAAAAATACCAGTGGTATTCACATAGATATAAATTACTTTTATGGCTGGGGAAGCTGAAGCCCCAGTGAACTTTAAACACTGACTGTGCTCCTGCTATAAATTGCTGTGCTTGGGGTAATTGGTCAATAAAAATTGAGGCTTGCAGCACCACCGCAATACTTGTCTTCCTCCTGCTGAGAAAATATCATCATTAAGTATTTGAATTAAAATTCAGACCTAAAAGGAAAGCTTTTTTTTTTCAAATTAATTTCCTAGAACAGATATTATATAAGTATCAAAACAGATCACGTGTATTATTTCAAAACATGATCTGTGGTGAGGAAAAACTGTATGTCAGTTTTTATACAGCAGAGGGGGGAAAAAAATCGCTTAAAAAAAAACATCATCCATGACCACCACTTAGAAATCATCACCTGTATCTTGAAAATATATATCCAGGTATGCCCTGAAAGGAGTTACCATATCTATATTTCAACAGTCACATGCTCAGTGCTCACCTACATACACTAGTATCTCAAGGGTGAAGGCAGAAAAGTCCACCAAAAAGAGTACAATTTCTTAATGCTTTTTTCAGTAGAACAGCAGCCCGATGTGAGTGGTTTGGCTTAAACATGTACAGGTCAGGAGCAACAGTGGGATGTATAGTACCTCCTAAGCAACTCAGGCACCTACCTCCTTACTTTCTAGCAGAAGCAAGGCACCCAGCTTGCTTATTTAATTTCTAACAGACCCATTCAGTAAGCAGAGCAACTTCAAGTACTACATGTGCTGCTTCTGTACTTCCCAGCACTTACCAAATAATTCCCTAAAAACAAGACAAAGGATAAATGTGTGCATTTTTAAGAAGTGACTAAACTGGCCCACAAAATGAATTATGTGTGGAGAAGCAAGTGCACTGATACTTCAGCTGGGTGCAAAATATGCTATGACAAAAACAGCTTCATAGAGAGGCAGTCCTGGGGTGGACTTTTGGGGGTAGTTCCCCACCATGGTGTTAATCATTGAGCTCTGTCAAGGTGGATTTGAATTAATTAGAAACTGTAACAGGGATCCCTCGGCAATACTAAAAAAAAAGAAAAAAAGAAGAAAATAACAGGGGAAAAAAAGGAAAAAGAAAAAAAAGGGAGAAAAAAGGAAAAAAAAAGGAAAAAGAAGACAAGAATAAAGAAAAAAAAAGAAAAAGGAAAGGATAAAAAAGAAAAGTGAAAAACAAGGTAAAAAGCTGCTTTTCTGACTTCCTTCCCTCTGCTCTGAGAATGAGAGCTAATGTATGCAGGAGAACTGAGGGCAAGGGAGGAAGCAGAAAGGAGAACTGAGAAGACGTGATATCTAGGGATTGTATTTAAACTGGCATTGCTAGATTAAGCACATGTCACTGCAGCCCCAAGCTATAATTTCACACCACTTCTAAACTGATTTAATGGCTAGCTGCCACCAGGTTCCTTAGAAGGAAAAATCTACTGAGTTAGCTCACTGAACCAGCCTGCTGAGGGTTAAGAGCAGGAATATGCAGCCAAAATTTTTCCCTCCATGGCATCTGTCCTTAAGTGCCAGTCTAATTATTGACTAGACTGAGCTCTCCCTCTTCACTGTACACAAACAATAACCATTTCAAAGTCTGGGAAGAATGGCAGTAGTACTCAAACTGAATTCCTTGGGTACTCAAACACTACCTTTTTACCCTTTTCCACTTCAGCTTCTTCAAAGAAACTTTACATCACTTTTGAAAATATAAAAGTACTTTGCAAAGAGCAATCCAAAATCTTCAAATACAAAAGGAGGACAAAAATGAAAATATATATAGTTTGCACAGGTCAAAGACCTAAAATAATTTAGCATTTTGCTCCAAAACCAGATTTGGAATAAAAGAATCACGTGCATCCTCAGTGCTCATACTGTTACTGAAGTGCTTCTGCAGCTTGCAAAAATGTCCAGCAAAAATAAAAATTCCTATCTTGAGCAAGCAGTGTGTATGTGGCCTTCAGAATTGCTATTGGCAATGGTTCTGCGCTGGTACCTCTGAACTGTGTTCATTGTTGCTATTCTTAAAACACCTGAAAGAAACTTGAGTTTAATGAGTTTACAGAAGTACCTCACAATAAGAGCAGTGTGAGTCAAATGCCAATATCCTGACAAGCTGTCCATTCCTGTGCATTGCTAACAATTACTCCCTATTATGTAAACAGCAGGCTCCATCTTTTTAACATGTTTCCTATGGGAAGATTTTGGAATGAATAAATTTCCTGTAAGTGTATTTACCCTTCTACTGATTTACCAGTCCAGCATCTGATAAATGCTGTATTACTCACCAGGTCTGCTTTTACCTGGTTTTTTTTTCCAAACACATTCCAAGTTCTATTTAATCAAGGATTAGCGTGTTATGGTTTTTTTAACAGAAATTAAGAGAAAGGAGAATTCCTTCATTAAGGATCTGATTGCAGGATTGAAAGTTTATACATAAAATACACTCAAGCACTGATGATTTGATTTCACTTGGATTTCACAAAGGTTTGGGACTGCCAGGAGCAAGGCTTCCCTCTCATTATCTTCGTATTTACTTTGCTAATTTTAGCTCTTTAGTATTTCATTTACATATAGTGCACTTGAGCACTTCCTAATTCCTGCAAATTTCTGATAAAAAATCATCCTAAAACTATCAAACTAGAGCAGACCTTTCTAATCATCTCTCAGAAGAACGACAGAGTAGGGCTCACTGCCTTACAGGCTGCATCTGCTCTGCAATTAAGAGATATGGCTGCAGCATTTTAGATATACTTCAAATACACTTAATTTTGTCAGCCTTATATAACAGAACAGTTAAAATACATAAGCATGAATGTCACTGCAGGCATTTAATTTGAGTAAGCATCCAGTGTAACCAAAATGAGCCTACATACCCCTCACTGAGGCATAGGTTACCACAGCTGAGTTACTGCTGGTAACTCAGCTAGTGAGACTAAAGTGAGCACAAGCATGACTGTCCAAGCTGACTGCAGAGTGTTACAGAAGGAAAAGCACTCTGCTTGTTTATCAGAGCCACAGTGTTCTGTGGAAATAGATGTGTAGAAAATTGAGAGCTACCATTTCAAAATCACATTAATGTGAATTTGGAGATGAAAAAAATAATCTCCTTCCTTTATTCTCAACAAGCCTGATGCTTCTCAGGTTGTGCTGCACAGGCCTTCAAGAAAGAAACTTCATTAATTCAAGAATTACAGTTGGACTTGATCATCTTAGAGACTTCTTCCAACCTAAGTGATTCTATGACTTTAAGTAACAACTAAATATTAAATAGGCATTAGTGGCAGGACTAGTTTGCATATGATCAACAAACATTACTTAACGCAAACAGAAATTCTACAGTTCTATTGTAAAATAGATGCCCTAGATGAGAAACTCAGTGACTGACAGTACAACAAAACCCAGTGTTAGTCTGTTTTGAATCACCAGGAATGTAACCAAAGAGAACTGTATTTCTGAATTCAGAGTTGGTATACAGAATTTTGTTGTGTTTGACTTAAAGAACTTCAACATATTTGTTTAAGATTTTTAGTCTTCCTATCCTTGAAAAATTTCATTAAGTCATCATCACTATGATATTTCAAGTTCAGCTAATGATAGACTTGCCAATTGGAACAACAGCCTGGAATCTGAAAAGGAAAATAAAAGTACACTGAAAAGATAGAGGAACTTTTTTATAAACAAAAAACTATGAAAGCCTTATTCTCAGTGCCATGTCATGACTGATCAATACTATTATTTCGCTTACATAGAGTGCTTCCACTCTGCTGCTCTTGACTGACACACAAGACTGCATATGTTCATGCACTTTCAGTGCTGGATTAGACACTAAAAGCCTTAAACATGTATTTAAAATCTTAGCTTTGGAGAAAAATCACAAGTAAGTGAAGTCATATTGATAAAAGAGTAAACACAGTTTTTGTACTGAGACAGCTGCATAATAAAAACTAATTGAAAATGTTGAGAGTCAAAATATTGGAAGCTTAATGATACTTATTAGAAGTGTCATTAGCATTCTAGAAAAATAGTTTTCTATTGGGTACACAAAGTTTATAATGACAAACCACACTCCTGGAAAAAGACAGCTTAATGGTTTGAAAAAAATAACAAACTGCAATACAAAACCAAATAAAACAATCCACATATCAATGAATACATTAAAATGAAAATTTAATTATCAACTCCTAATGACAATATAAGCAAAATTATTCTCAATTAAGAAAAACAAAATAGGTATGTACACTGTAGCTCGGAGCATCCTTTAAGATTTTCAATTCTGTAAACAAACTGGGTATACATTCAACAGGAAGAACAAACATCAGAAATTATCCATGACACTATATCACTTAAAATTTAATTCCATATCTAGTTATTGTAGTTATTTCATTTTAGAATTTACTACACAAAAAAGATGAGAGAGAAACCCACACCTTTTGCCTGAAGTTTATGCATTATAATTCCACCTCTTCTTTAAAATGTTCTTTATAAAATAAGAGCAATGAGAAAGAAAAGGAGCTGAGGAAAGGAAATGAACAGCTTCCAAGCATCTCACAGAGCATTGCTACATTTTATTTAGATCATATAAATTACTTCTCTCAGAGATCAGAAGGATATGGGAATATGCTTCTAATAAACAGACTAAATGCATTCAGTTCCAGCAAATTGGATTCATACCAGCAAGCCCCATGCACTCGTTGACAAAGAGAAAATGATAAAGCTTACCATGCAGCTTAACAGACTAAAATGAACAACTTTTTAAAAGGACAGCTTTCCTGAACTAGTTTTACTAGTAACCAAGAATATTTAGACAGTTCTAAATAATAGTTATTCTGACATATGGCTGATGCATACAACTAATTACAAAATAAGGAAATGCAATGATTACTGTAAGTATTGTGGGTATAAAATTCCTAGAATGGATTTGAAACTTTGCCATCTGTGAGTGTAACATCACACAACAAAAGATTGATCCATGAATCTTTACAGCAATTTTGGTTTATGTTCTGCTTCTGTCTTTTGCAAAGATGAAAATAAGGGTAGCCTGAGGTGTTTTTAATACGTTTGGCACTGTTTCTCTAAGCAGATAAGCTAACACAGATCTCTCAGCCTTTAAGATGGTTCAAATATTTACCAGTATGTCCATTTTTAAGAATAAGACCTTATGCTTTGTCTCCAGTACACAGCTATTAATTAACTTCTCAAAACTGCATTATGAGAAGGCAAAACTGACATTTCAAACCTTGACAGAACTTTAAAACAGCTGAAAAAAAAGGTAAGCCTGTTAGCTTATTCTTTTAAGATTTCTCTTTAAATAAACAAGTATGACAAAGCAGCAAACTAAACATTAGACTATAATTTGAATCAGAGCTAAAAATTGGACAATAAACAGCAGCCACTGCACACAGCAAGATCAAGACAAAATGAAGTATTCTTAAAAATAATAATGAAATTTACTTTAATCAAAGTAAAGTTAATTAAAGTGTACTTTAATCAAATTTACTACACTAGGTACTGCTGCACATGGTGAAATCCCACTGAAAAAACACAGGTCAAAGCCTAGGTGCTCTACTGAATTTAAAAAGGTGAACACTTTCTTGAAGGAGAAAATACAGTAATTTAATGGGCTTGTTGATGCCAGACACGTTACCAGGTCAAAGCAACTGCTTCATGAGAATGGTTAGACAGATCTGCTTGCTGGAGATGTGAGCTGGACAGGGCTGCGTGGTAATACTGGCAGTAAAATCACTTTGATAGTAAAAAGTCATTATCTCTTACAAGAGGGGTTTCCACAACTGACCTTAAAATCATACTATCATCATGTCCTATATGAACAGTTGCTGCAATAGAAACAAAACACATATGGAGTTGTTGGAGCTTTAGAGTTCTGTGGATAAGTACACCATTATGTTTCTCAGTGTAGATTAGGCCTAAAATGCTGAATTTTTTGGCTGGAATATTTAGGATTTGACTCGCTGACAGTATTAAAGCTTTTTAAAAAGAAGAATCTGGTAAGCTTTGGCAGTTTACATTCTTTCTACGTTGCTATGACAAATTTTCAAAACAAAATCTTACAGTTTTCTATACATACTGTTATGTAGGAGACACACTAGTTAATACAAGGAACCATGTTTTTACCGCAGAAATAAAAGGTACATTGGTGCCTTTTCTGCATGTTTGCTCTTTATATTTTTGCTTGCTTTGTCCACAGATATTTTCCACGCCCTTCACAGAGATGTGCCGGGAGGTATAGTTCTTGCTTTTTATGAGAAGTTGTAAATACACTAAAATTCTGAGATTATGACGTATGACTTAAAAAGTAATTTTTGCTGTTGTTTTTGCCTTTAGGCAAACTAAACTCAAGCCCATCTTTCAGATGGGGAGCTCAAACCTAAACACAGAATTTTCTGGCTGTGATCCAACAGGCTTCTTAAAAGAGGGAGACTCGTGCCAAAACAAAGCGCGGCTCGGAGCCTGGAGCACGAAAAAGAGAGACGACACTGAGCAATCCTGCCTGCACAAGCTGTTGGCACTTGCATGTCAAGGGGAGGTGCGACGTTTGCCCACTATTTTACTCATTAGCCAGCAAGCCCGATATAACGGCATCAAGAGAAAAAACTATCTGTATCTATCTATACATGTATCCATATATATAGATACAGATAGATTAGATATAGATGTATTTGTGCGTGCGTGCGTATACACACATTCCCCCAACACATGGACAAATATGCCACTTTTTTCCACCCCACAACGTGTTGAACGGATAGAAACGTGTTTAACGTTGTTTTCCGTTCACACTCTCTGGCAGGCAGAAAATGCCAGCGAGAGGCAATCGGGGCTGAGTACTGCTCGGGCTACCGGGACACGGCAGGACGAGTTATCCCGCTGGACGAGCGGCGCACTCCCAACAACACTTGGCGGAGTGACGCGCCAGAGCTCCGGGCTCGGGGACTGACCGGCCCACCGCCCGGACAGCAGTGCCTGCCGAGCGCCCCGGGCTCCCGCCGGGAATCGCACCGACGGCAAGTTTTCCTGCCCACCCGGAGCCGGCGCGGCGCCCACCGCCGGCGGGACGGGACACCCCCGCCGCCCCCCGCGCCCCCGGCACACCCCCCTCACCCGCGATCCTCAGGCAGGTCTCCAGACCGGCGGGGGGCGGCTGCCGCCGCCGCTCCGCCTCGCCCCCCGCCGCCCGCGACGCCGCGCCCCGCGTCCTCTTCAGCGCGGGCGGCGGCGGGGCTGCGCGGCGCCGCGCCTCGGCCCAGCTCTTCCGCTTCATGGCGGAGGCGGCCGCGGCGCTACGATCCCCTCATGCCTTGGGGACCCGGCGGCCGGAGGGAGGGGAGGGACCCCGCGGCGGCGAGGGCGGCGGCGAGGGCGGCGGCGGCTGACGCGGCCCCGCGGACACCGCCCCCTCCCGCCGCACCTTCGCCCCGCAGCCCGGCGGAGCGCCCGCCGCACCCCCAACGGCCGCCCCTGATTGGGGCGCGCGGTGTGGCGTCACCGGCGCGGAGCGGCGGGGGGAGTGACGTCATGGCGGCCGCGGTAACAGGTGGGCCGGGGCACGCGCCCCCCCGCCCCCGCTGCCGCGGCGCCGCCTGTCTGGGCGCGCGGCCGGCCCGCGCTGCTGACGTGGCGCTGGCTGCCCCCGGTGGGGAGCGCGGCCCGGGGGCTCCGCTCCGGGGGCTCCTCTCGGGGGCTCCGCTCCGCGCGCTCCGCCCCTGCCCTGCCTTCTCTGGGGCCTCGCTGCCCTCCAGGTGCCCCTCCTGACATGTACCGAGAGAGGAGCCCGAGGACTTGGTACTTTGTAAAGCCCCCTCGAAACAGTCCAGTGCATGTAGGCTTCTGGTCTGAACGTTAAATGGGCTGATCCGGAAAGTTTAAATAACTGTGTTTGAATCTGCCTCTTAGATACAGCGATACTTTAAAATACATAGTTATTTTAAATGGCCGTAGCACTAAACCAAGCCGGTAGGTAAAACAGCTTCTGAGAACCACTCCCTTCCCACCTCCGTCTAATGGCCATTATGAAAGCCCTGGAGGGAGTATTCTACCATCTGCTGAGTGTGCGTATTTATGGACGAAAACTTGCTGGAAACATTCTAGTCGCCACTATTCACTGCATGACTTTTTTAAAAATATCCTTTCTAAGTAACACCAGTCACCTAAAATTCTTCTGACACTTTGGAAACAAATTCTCCCAAGGTGACTGTGGCCATCGTTCTTCCAATTCATTATGAATGTGGGAGTCATTGTCTCGCAGGGGTCAAGCAAACTCTCTCAAGCTGTGGCCAGATGCAAAAGGCAGGGCCAATGCCCTGATTAGGACACCTCAGCTCTTCTGCTGAATCTTCCTCTCTCTTCCTCTTTCCTTTTTTTTTGTCTGCAGTTTGTGAGTCTTTCTGAAGAAGTGATTTTGCTGGGATAACACAGAGGTTGTGGTATGGTTCCTGTCAGTATTGAAATAGTAAGGGTAGATTACTTCTACCTAAAAAGCTGTAAAGCTACAGTTTAATTAACTCCAATATCTTTTAATCGCCCATAATCCTTTTAGCTGTAGTTAATTTTTTAAAATGTGCTTATTAGGACCAACAGAACGATTACCATTGTATATTCTTTTAATTCTACTAAAAGCAAAAAATGCAGGAAGGCAGCTAGAATGTTTCCTTTAAAATCAAAAGCACCAAGAACAACTGCAAAATAGAAGTGGAACAAGAATCAGTGCCCTTAACTGTGATTATCAGGTTAATGAAGCAGAGTGGAAGCACTACATATCAACTGACTATTCATCATACATTGTCTTTGAAAATAATTTTTATTTGTTTATTGTCTTTGTTTTACAAACATAAGTTTTCCAGCCTGCTTTTGGCTGTTTAAGTAACATGAGGCAAAGAGGCAGATGCATTCCAGAGTTCTTGGCATGCTGAAAAATATTGTTGAGCTGGGGGACTGCTGGAGGGAGGAGGCAGCTCCTTATTTGAGACTGTAGGAACAGTGGTTCATGAAAAGCAGACTTCACTCCCCCGCGAGCCTGAGCTGCCTGTCCCAGTCTGTTATGCCAAGTTTGAGGAAGCCTCTGGCCAGCCCTGAAATCACAGGGGTTGAGAGTCTGCATGTGACTACCTTTAGCCCTGTGCCGAGTGCTGTTCAAAGCAGGGAACTGACAACTGTATTTTTACATTCATAAAATCCTTCTTCTAAACATGTAATATCAAAATAGAGGTGTAATGAATAAATTGCTGAGGCATAGTATCTTTAATAGAATTACATTGTTCAGTATTGTTACGTTTCTTACGCAAGCCTTTTATTTTTTATCAAGGAACAGTGCACTTAATTTCACGTGCTCTTAATGGTGTAAAGCTTTCCAGACCTTGCTCTGGGCCTGCCAGTGACCTTAATGAATGCAGGAACAAACATCTTCACAAAATGCCATTTCACAATTGCATTAAAGCTTAAAAGGGGTGAAAATTTGCAGTTGAGACATGTACGTATGGTAACATTTTACAGTGAGGGTCAAAGATCAAAGGCTGCAGAGAAGGATCTGCTCCTCCATAAATCTTGGACCTTTTTTTTTTCAAATTGCTAAAAAGTGTATCCTAGATGAAAGAGGGCACATCTACTTTAATGAAACCAATAGATGTTGAACATAAACATCTGTAGATAAATGAATAATATGAAATATGCCAGAACTGCAAACCAGAAAGAATGCTGTTATGCTTACTTCAGTTGTCTAAGACAGAAATAACTAAGAACAATTTATTCTGAGACCTCTTGCTCAGAGAAAATACGTACATACAAAGGAAGAACATCTTGCTGCAAATCTTCATAGGAGATTTGGGTTACTCCAAAACCAATAATCTGATCAGATACAAATTTAAGACCCACCCCTCTCTGGTCTTACAGACCCATGTTTTTGTATCACACAAAAGAATTGCAGACAATACAGGATGATGTATTTAAAATATTTATTTCAATTTGTGAAATGTGTTTCATAACTTCTGCCACTGCCAGATGCAAATGAAGTCCAGGTGTTCAAAACTGTGGCTTTTCAAGGTGTATTTCAATACAAAATACAGTCATACAGTGCTGGAAGCTTTAAAACAGTGCTGAAAAGTCTTGGATTGAAAGCCAGTGTTGATCTGCTGAAGGCAAGAATCCCAAGTTCTTCCTGAGCAAAATCTGATTTCTTACCTTAGTGCACCTTGAACAACGATGTTTAAAAAAAAACTAGCAAGTTTGTCTGATGAGACAATAATAAGCTCTAGGCTTTTTGCAATCAGTCTCAGTTGTGTTTTAGTTTTTATTATCTTGTACTCAATGGAAATAGCACTTTTATATCCATCTCTAGTGTCAGGTAGTTTATTCTATGCTTTGATTTTCTACATAAGGTTTCAGATGTCCCACAAAGAAGCAACAGAACCAATGCTTGCTGTAATTCACCAGAGAGCTGTTCTTGTAGAGCACAAATTTACAAAAAAAGTATACATTGCTTCAGTGTCATATGTCAATAATCTGGGGTTTGTTTGAGAAATTCACTGTTTTAACTCCTGCCAGCTCCAAGATTGTATTAATGGGAACATGATCCAGCCTGTTTTTATCAAGGTGCAAAAAATGAACTTCGTTGCCTGGAATGAGAATAACATGTAAATTATTGAATAACATATTTATTTATTCAAAGATGTAAGTATATTGAAGCAGCATTCTGACTACCTACCAGTTACTGTACAAATGTGTATTAGTTCTGTAGAGTGCACATATTCTGTATTTTAAACAATGACAAAGTGTTTTTTAATTATATTAAAGAAGCAAGGAACATTGACACATTTAACTACTTTAAATCTGCTGTAGCAGGATATTTCCTAATAATGTGGTGACTGTCATGTTGCAATTCCCCCTTCATGCTTTACCCCTCTAATAAAACCACATTAAATGCCTCAAATCACATGTGGAAGCAGAATGTAGTTAAATACCACAATGCCAAGAAAACCCTCCATACTTTGAGGCAGTTGTTCCATCAGCGATCCAACCAATTTCTGCAGTACTGTGATCAGGTTTATGCCACCTCTGTGGGAGATGGGACTACGCAATGACACTCTGCAGATTTCTTCATGCGACAGAAATCACACAGTTCAACACCAGACTGTCTCCTTGGGACCCACAGGGACAGAAGGCGAAATGGCAGCAAACAGCTAAAGGAGACAGTGGTGACTTTCACACAAAACAAAGCAGCTCACCTGGGCCTAAAATCAAAGCTCCTCCCTGCTGAGCAGGGTCTCCTTGAAAATCAAAAGCTGGGCCAGTCATTGCTCTCCATATACTCCTAATACTTCCCAGAAGAGTGTTTGATTTCACATGAGGGCTCCGAACTAAACAAAACCACAAAACACTTGTTATGTGGAAATATGAAAGTATATAAGAGCAACAACAATTAACAGCTGCTATGAATACTTTAGAGATTCCTGATTACCAGTGTTTTCACAAAATATAGCCTACGAGACACAGTCTGGTGGGCAACTCATTTTCTCTTTACATTGTGATCATATTATTTTATCAGAGCATTTCTGTTTTGTTTGTGAAAGTCTAAATAAGGTGAGAAAATCATTCTTACCTGATGCTTTATTACCTTCACCTCTTTTCATCCCAAGTATTTTATAAATTTCTCTTTGTGGATCTACATATATTTCATGTGTATATCCAGTTAAACTGCAAAAAGGCTGCAAAATATAGGCATAGACACAGACAGACACAGAAAAATAAAGTAATATTTGTAAGGTTAAGGCAGTAACAAGCTAGGTTTTACTGACAACAGCAAAAATACCAACACTCTGCCAGCTTCATGCTCCCCCCTCTTATTTGAAAGCTGTGTATTTGTTAGTTATGTTAAAGTACAAAATTTTTAGCCTCAAAGCTTCTATTAAAACAAAGCTTTCAGTGAAATCAAGAAAGGATGTTTCCTTAGCAACACCTGGTGGCTTTTAAACTGCAAGTTTTAATTATTTGCTTTAGTTGTGTATTACTATTAGATTTGCCTCATGAACGCTATCCTTTTTTACTGTTGCAAAAGACTACCCTTTCATGCAAACCAAATCCCTCAGTACAGACCAAGAGGACATAATAGAGGATTCATTGTATTTAATGACCACTTTATTTACCTTGATGTGATGATATGATGACTGTCCAATAACTATAAGCCTCACATTCGATTCCTAGAACAGAAGATGGGTATTGAAGCTGTGAAGAGGAAGTGGGTGTCCTACCTGACTTCAAAACATTGCCAGAATCTGGTGTGCCGAGTTAGTGATTGCAGTGCACTGACTTAAAATTGTTTCATGTTAACATAACTTCCATGTTTGGAGACTGTACTTTTGTATATCACCCACAGTTAGCAGCAACATTAATTTTTTAAGTGAAAAAATATTTTTAAATACAACTTTTAAATTACAGTTGTGTA